GTAATTTCAAAGATCCCTTGTAAATGACAATTTCAACAACAGCAAATTTATTATTATCTGCTCTTGCTATATTATATCAACTACATAATAAGGAATACAAAAATTAAAGTCTGAGAAAGGAAGGTAAACATTATGTTTTCAATCCTATCACATTTTGCTCATTGCTGAGTATCTGACTTCCTTGGGAACATGTTATCCTCCTTCATTTATCTTACTGAAGAAACATGCATAGCACTGCCCTGTGGAGCTCTGTAAATATAACTCTTCACAAAGCAAAGAGAGAAGAGAGAAAATATAACTTCTATAGTATTCTCCATAGGCAGAAAGGGTAGTGGGTCAAAAAATTTCAAGATGCCATTCAGGAAGGGAAAGACTGTTAAGAAAAACTGGTAGGAGACAAAAGCATAATCAAAGAGATGGGCCTTCTGAAGGATTTGACAATAGTGACCAAGAGATACAAGTGGAATTACTGGGCAGGTACACAATGACAGAAGATCATTTATGCACATTAATTTACGAAGAACTAACTGGGTACAGCGAATGCTACCTGAAAGAGAACAGTTCCCCCACCCCCCACCGCTTAAATCTGAATCAAACTGGGCCTTTGGTCTTATTTTATCAAGTCCAGGGATCTGTGGATGACAACCACAAGGGTAATTCTTCAGTGACGCGGAGGTAAATGGTAGGCTGCAATGATGTTGAAAATTGCCTGGGAAAGGAACTCGCAACAGATGTCTCCTGACTCCACATTAAGATAATGTATGGTTTCAAAAGGTTACTAAACAAAGATTTACCTTCTCTTGACTAGACATCTGTAGAGTTGTGCTTCCACAGTGCAAAACTGATAAAAGTGAATAGGTAGAACTTGCAAAGTGATTCTGAAATGTGTATTAAAATCCACATATGTATATTCGAGGAGTCTAATAGCTTTATTTGGCCTGTCACTACGGCTATCTTTCAAACACCAGAACCAATATATCAAGGAATGCATTTCTGCATCATGTCAAAGGTTGAGCCTCTGCACTCCGTTTTCTGCTCCTATAAAGGGCACAACCAGGTCAAATTTCACACCCTTTGTGACTGAAGAAGCAGCTACCAACTGCATGAGATGGGGAACTAGGAATAGATATGGGGGACATACTGGAAAATATTATGGAAATAGAAGTGGTCAAGGCCATACTGCTGGTTTTCCCAAGTGTTGGAAAACCCATGAGAACAAGAACGTGAGCCATTTTGAAGACATCAACATAGGTTTTGGCATTTGGGTTGTAACTTGTGAAAAATACAGCTAGGAAATGTGTCCACACTGAGAACTTGAACTTTAACGGGACAAAGGTGTAGATAAAACAGAGAAAACAATTGCAATTGAATCCAATTAGTGTAGAATAAGTGCAAACATTCTATCTATTTACCCACCATGAAAATTTACCTTGAGATCTGTCTATGGAACTAAATCTAAATCTCTTCCCTTTGATTAAAACTGATGAAATATCAAGAAGAATTAACACAAAATTTAAATGTTAATATTTCTGTTCAACTGTTATACTGGAGAGGTCCCTCTGAATACATTCAGAAAGGCTAAAACAACTATAATTATGACATAAGCATAAACAGTTCTTTACTCAGCTGATAAACCCTTTAAAACCCTTCAAATCACTGAACTCAATACAGTGACATGAGTACTTCATCACACAAGTCAAATGCTAGACCTCTTCAACAGCAGACAGCATCTATCAATTGGTTTCATCATTGTTCAACAGAAAATTGCTACCGTAGGCTTCACAGAGTAAGCACTACAGTTTAATTCCTATTTATTGTTCTACCTTCTGTCACTGCTCCTATCTCTTTCAGTACTGCTGAATGTTTGCAAATCATCAACTTATTTCTATCTAGTCTTAAATTACTTTTTCTGCCAAAGTGAGGCAACCATAACTTATAAAGACTGCCCATTACTAAACAGTAAGTCAATATGCAATTATCTGAAATGACATTAACGTGAATTTTGTAGATTTGTTACTGTTGAAAAGACAATATCCTTGTTTATGTTTCATCAAGGAAAACCCATGAGAGTTATATTTAGAGATACGAACAGTCATGCACTTATTACTTTGTTCTATAAGAAAATGTTAATAAAACACTGTTTTTAGTTTTTGTTAAACAATCTGCGCACAATCACAAACAAAGCCGGAGTGGGTAATATTTAATTTAGATCAAAACGTTAGCAGTTTTGGTTAAAATAGATATTCTGTTGTGCTGTATAATAGATATGGGGAGCTGAATAAAGCACGGGGTTCAACCAAGTTCTTTAATCAACTCGTAAACTCCAGTCTAATATCAACTATCATTTGCAAGGTAAAGTCAAACCGAGCCCACAGAATCTGATTAAGTACTTAGGTTTTATTGTTTCTAATCTGCTAGGAATGTGACTTCTCATTCATGAATAATCATTTGGTCAATCAGTTCGTATTTATATAATCTGTTTACAATCTCTTGACACAGGTTAATGGAATCAAAAAGTAATGTTTTTTTGTCCGATTCACAAAAAAAAGTAATAACCAGAACATTAAGCTCTTCATTAATTACCATCACAGAAATTGGGGGCAAAATGATTTACCTAAAATAAAACGGAAGCGTTGAAACTTAACTTATCTCCTGATAGCTACACAGAATGGTCCAGCAAATGTTATGCTAGTATTAGGTTCTTGAAGGTGAGAAAAAACGTTTGATTCCATTCTCATCTTTTGCATCTATCCTTTTTCAGGATAAAACCAGTTATAATCATTCGGTAATCTATGCTTAAATATTTTTAATTTATAATTTGTGAAATTATACCAGGATGTTGCTTAGGCTGGCAAGTTTTAGTTACAACGAGAGATTGAATCGGCTGTGGTTGTTTTCCTTGGAGCAGAGGAGACTAGGGGGGGTGCAGGATTGAGATGTATAGAGTTACAAGGGGCATTGACATGATAGCCAGGAAGAGAATGTTTCCTCTTGTCAGAGGGATCAGTCACCAGGGGGCATAAATTAAAAGTAAGGGACAGAAGGTTTAGAGGAGATGGGAGACGGTAGAAATCTAGTTTGACTGCAAGAGTGGTAGAGGCAGAACCCCTCATTACATTTAAGTATTTAGATGGCCAAGGCATACAAAACTACAGGCCAAGTGCTGGACAATGGGATTAGATTAACAAGGTGTTTTGACCAGCACAGACTTGATGGGCTGAAAGGCTTTTTTCTGTACCGTAGATCTCTACGACTAACTCAAAACCACCCACAAAACCATTCATAACACATTTCAATAATTATCTTCACAGGCAGATCTAAAACAAACAATTGGTAAACAATTTGGGACAAAAATGTTACATTTCTTTAAGCAAGCCCTGTTGGTTTTATTGGTTTACTGTACATCTATAACTGATCTTTCAATGGACTCCAGAGTACCACTGATCTTAGATTTCCTCAAGATCACAAAACCTCAGTGCTCACTAACCATAAGCCAAGGAGAACAGAATTACGCTCAATATAGCATCAAAAGGGTTTCCCAATCATTTGCAAACATCAGACAGATTTATTTCAGGCTGATCGGTTTTACATGAGTCAAAAACAATCTGTATACTTCAGAACTACACAACATTGATGATCTCCCTGGGAAATAAAGTTTGTAAAACATATCCTAAATCCCAGAAAGCTAGTGCTGAAGAGATAATTTGTTCAAATAGTTCCTTTTAAACGTGGTCTTGAAACGCGGCTGCGAAGTCTAATAAGGTGTTGAGATAAAACTTGACACCTGGATAAAATTTGTATCATGGTCTCGGAATATTTCACCCTAAATTTTCATTTGCAAACAGATCTAAGTTGGAACCGGGTTGCATGGATATTTGTGGAAATGCCTTAAGTATGTGCCTTTTTAAAATTAATTTCAAACAATCTGACGATTCCTTTCCAGACACGGAGGCAAGAAAACCCCTGGAATTAAAAGAAACACACTAAACCGAAATGACTATTACCTCAAAAACAGTGCATCCCTTTTATCGTGTAGTGTCGCTGTCTACTGTACGTATTTCTATAGTATTGCTATCCTAAAGCAATTACTCTACAAGCACACTAATACTATACCAACATTATAAAGATCGGTCTCGTTCAACCTCCGCTCAATATCCTCAATTATCAAATCTGCTGACTCTGATGAAACACAAGTGATATAACTGGGGAGATTCGTGCTTTTCTCTTATGGCACTGTTTTGTTTAGTGCGGATAAAATAACAAGAAGAAAATCAACCTTATGCTGCCCGAATTACAGCGAATTGGCTTGAGCGCTGGATTTGGGGGATGAGGGGCTTTTTTTTTTGGAAACTGACTCAGTTGGAGCCTGCTTATTATTCAATGAAACGCCAAAATGCTCAAATCTCTCTTTTTAAGAATGTGATTTGTTTCAGACATCCAAATTCATAGCTGCTGCATTCCTTCCTCCATCCCGGAGAGAGTTTACATCTATTGACTGCAAAAAACTTGCAGCGTTTGCAGGCTGCCTGCCTGGTGCATTGAATGTTCACCGCTCTTCCACACTGCAGGATGCACAATTTCCATTCGTGTTTGAAAAGCTCTTCTGGTTTTCGTGATTCCCGGAGAGGAGGGGGTGGTGGGCGTAACAAAAGGTGGTGGTGAGGAGGTGGGAGTGAGGAAGGAAAACAATTCAGGTCAAGGCATGCAATCTAGTTGCTGCGCTTGTACTGTCTACTATCCAAGTATAACGTGTAATAGCAGCCCCAAATACTCCAGACCCTGCTGCGTTCACACTGTACTAAAAGCATCAGCATGAACATTTATCTTTCACTAACAGCAGTAATGAGACTTTGGCTTGGGGGTCAGCTCAAAGAACAGCGAGAAACCCCATATATAACCCATACACTGTTAAAAGAGAAAAACATGCACTTACTAATCTTTCACCTGCAAAAATAAAGCTAACTTTTATGAGCAGCGAGAGGGAGCATCTTCCTGCTTACCATTAGAACGTCTGACAATATTTTCCAAAAAAGTATTCTGAGGGGCAACAAGTCCTTTCCTTCCCCCCGCCATGCTGTGTCCTCAGTGGCTATGGTACTGCAGTCCTGAAGCTGGGGAGACAAGCTGCAGCTCTCGCTGCTCATGGTACCGGCGCAGAGTGTGCGTGGAGCTCCAAGCTCGGCCAAGCCTTCCCTTCGCTTCCCCGCCTCCGCGTTCCGCTGCTCTCAGCCCCCGCCTCTCACTACGCCACGGGGACGAGGGCGAGGGAGCGCGCCTAGCCCGGGGGCGAGCCTAGACTCGAGTGCGCGCACCATCACTCCTCTCCTCCACAGCTCCCAATAAATGCAGCACGGTGTTGATCGATCGCTTTCTGTGCAGCGAGAGCCCCGTGTGCTGGCACCTCCAAGCATCAGCAAAAGTACCATCTTCGAGCAAAGTGTTGACTTTGTTCAATATGTCACTGCCTTTCATTATATCCCATGAGATGCATGAGTTCCTAGTAATGACTGCAAACTCAGATCTTGCCTTTCCCCCAATGCTGGCAGTTTTCTCCCTCGCAAACTGCCCAAATGTAGGTGGGCAAAGGTCTGGGCTCACCCACAGCGACAGTGCCAAGGAGAGAGACAGCGTACCTCTTCATCTCGCGCTGCAGAGCCTGCGGTCAGGACTGTGGAAACGTTACCTGTAGACAAGTTAATGGTCAGGCTTGATAAGGCAGATTCCAGAGTGATAGTGACATTCTGGACTTTGCTCAGTTTTGTTTTCTGAGCTAGAGTGGAAAAGAATCGAAGTTTGGTCGAATATATGACGATGTATGCAGTCCATTGGAAAAAGGGTTGATGGATAAATGCGTGTTTTCCAGTTCACAGATTTTTAACTACGTATTCAGTGTACAGCGTCTCATGGGTCAATTTTATCAGTGTGCTCAGGTGTAGGACGAGAGATTAAAATCCATATGTATAGACACTACTTTTAATATGGTAATGAACGACCAGCCACTTACAGATAGTACTTCCTCGGAGATAACCAGCGACAAATAAAATCGAACAGCACCACTGCGCTCTTCGAGAGACGCATATTCCAACATCAACTCCCAGCACCTGCAGTTATTTGACTCAACTTGGGAAACATGCCTGAGAAATGTGGATAAAGAGCAAACATTAATGAACAATGAGTGTAGTCCATTACTCCTAGAATGAATTTTACGGTAATATTCACTTTCCGATCTGTTATTAGGTGATTGTATTTGATTCCCTTTAACGTTTCAAGGTTTGTTTCTTTGAAGTGCAACACATCAGAAACAGATTATACATGACCGGAAAACTCGCTATGATTTTGCCGCTTTTGCAACAAATTGTTGATAATATTTTGTTCTTAAATAAAAGTTTTAAAAAGAACGAGAAGCATTCTTGCGCCTGAGTGCTGTATCATACAGAGCTAAATCTTTTCGTCCGGCGCCGACAAGGCCGAATGGCCTCTTTCTGTTCTGTAACTTTTCATCGGTTCTATAGTTCTGTATCAAGATCACCATTCCCTGTGTTGCAAACTTCAGATCATTTCTGCACCAACAGAAATTTGCATAATAGCGCAGATAAATGTGCTATAAACTTTATACTTTTTATAAAGTACATTCAACAGGCTCATTGTCATGTCCTCTGATGAGGAACAGAGGGATCAGATAAATTATTCAAACCGCCCTATTTGGAATTTTTAAAAAGATCTACCCACAAGAAACACAAAATATAATTTTAACAGATTTTTATTGTTTAAAATGTTTAATCCAATGTGAAGCGTTTCATATGTAATTGCTTTTATTTCTCAGCAATATCCTTTTTTCTACTCCTCTTTCAATGCTATTGACTCAATAGTGTCATACAGTTTCACAGGCATTGGGTGCACTTGTGTGCTGTACTCAAGTGGCCATTATTAGTTGACAAATCACAATCAACAAAACCCAATACTATCATAATCTAATATCCAGTGAGGTAAATTGCAGTAGGAATCAATGAATAGCATTTCAAAGTGGAAATTATGCTTCATGTTTCTTATCTATCCCAAGGCGCTAAAGCCAGTTCTAACACCCTGTAGCGACCCTGACTATTCTAACTTTGTTATGATGGAGCGTCATTGATTGTTGATATGCATTCCAATCACAGACAGCCCTGAATATACACAAAAACAGAACACATCCAATTTCTTTTGCAATCCTTTGATAAATTACCACCTACTCTTTGGCCTGTCAAATGTACAGAATATATTCCATTTAACAGCATACATGCCGAGATAGATTATAGCACCACATCCAAGTACACTGACTCACAAAATTAGCTTTATGTCAATTTGAGCTAAGGCATAGTAGCTAAATTTGCAGGCAACACAAAGGTAGGTAGTAAAGTATGCTGTGTAAAAGACATAAGAGGTTTGAAGATATTGATGTTAAGTGAGTGGGCAAGAAAAGTCAGATGGAATTTCATGTAAAATGTAAAGTTGTTCAATTTGATGAAAAGAATGACAAAGCAGGGTATTAATTAAACAGACAAAGACTACAGAATTCCAAGGTGCAGAAGGATCTAGATGTTCTAGTGTATGACCATAAATCATTAGAATTCAGGTACAGAACATAATCAAGAAGGCCAATTGGGCACTATTCTTTGTTATGAGAGGAATTTAACATTAAAGTGAGGATATTTTGCTTCAATTATATAGGCATTGGTGAGACTATAGCTCTCAATGCTGTGGCTGTTTTGGTCTCCTTTTCTAAGGAATGATGTAAATGCAATGAGGCAGTTCAGAGGAGGTTTACTAGATTGATACCTGGAATGAGTGAGTTGTTTTATGATGATAGATTGCACAGGCTCAGTTGTTTCCATTGGAGTTTAGAAGAGTGAAGACTGGTTTGACTGAAGTGTATAAGATTTTGAATTGTCTTGACAAGGTGAATGTGGAAAGGATATTTCTTTTTATGGGTAAGTCCAGCACCAGAGAATGCTGTTTTGAAAGTAGGGATCATCCTTCTGGTCTGAAATGAGGACTTTTTGAAAAATCTCAGGTAGTTGTGGGACTTTGCAACTCGGCCTCAGAAGGCAGTAGAAGCAGCCTCATTGAATATTTTTAAGGAAGAGTTAGTTGGATTCTTGTCAGACAAGAGAATCTAAGGGGCTAGATGGTAATATGGAAGTTGAAACTCAATCAAATTAGCTATGATCTTTTTAATAGAAGGGCAGTTTTGAGGAGTAGAAGAGCCTATTTCTGCTCCTATTTCTACGTTCATATGTCCAAGGCCTGGCCCCACATTGGCACAAATTTTCTGGCCCACTTATCACATAAAGAATAGCTGGTACATATATCCCTCTCATATTTTCAGGTAAGACCATATCATAATTTTGATTCATTCTAGCATCCTGATGCGGCATTTACACAGAACCAGGCACCTTTTCAAAGTCGGCCTCTAACAAGCATCTCACACAAGGGGAAACAACCTTTCAGCATCTATCCTGTCAAGTCCCATAAGAATCTTCTATGTTTCACTAAGCCTTCTTTACATTCTTCTAAACGCCATTGCATACAAGTCCAACCTACTCAACCTCTACTCATAAGAAGATCTCCCCATACCCAGAATCAACCCTGTGAACCTTATCTGGTCTGCCTCCAACGACAATACATCTTTCCTGAGAAATGGGCACCAAAACTGTCACAGTATTCTAGGTGTGGTTTAACTAGTGCCTTGTATAGTTTTAACAATACTTCCCCATTTTTTATACACGAGTCCGTTTGAAATAAAGGTCAACATTTCGTTTATCTTGCTCATGACCTGCTGAATTTGCACACTAACTTTTTGTGATTTATAGATGAGAAATCCCAAATCCCTCTACTGCAGCTTTCTGCAGTGTTTCCCCCATTTAAATCTTTCAGCTTTTCCATTCTTTCTCTGAAAGTGCATAACTTTACATTTTCCCTCATTCCATTGCATCTTCCAAGGTTTTGCCTACTAAACAAATACAAGCCAGGATGGACAGCAGTTATTTTAGTGCCAATCTTTTACCTTTTGGGATTTGTAAAAAATGTGTATAGGATCTGCTAACATAAAAAAACTGAAGGCAGAATGGCACCTCTTTTATTTGTCTGATGTAAATACTCTTTGGATAAACTCTCTGAACTATCAGGCAAGTTTAGTGAAGAAGTTTTTATACATACTGTAACCAATGCATGCTTATAAGCATCTGAGTTTCTTGCTATTATTTTCAATGTGTAAAATAACTGCCCTTTCTACACCTCAACTTGAACCACTGCTTGCTTGAGTGATGAGAATGATCAAATGCATAGCTGTACACCAACAATACTGACAGCATTCCAACCACAAGCACTTCCATTATCTAATTTGAAAAAGAAGTGGCACTGCATGCAGCTGTTGGCCTGCTGGCCACAGCAAAGACATTCGCTTTAGTTCTACGCATGCATGACAACCTATATTTTTTTGCTTCAACTTCTTTCCAAGCAACTGCAGAATGTAAGTTTATTTCTGGCCCAAACATTGAATTCCTATTTGTCAAGCTACATTCAGTTCTGACGGTATAAAATATGAACTTAAATAAAGCTGTCATATTGTTGAAGGCAGTGTATGCATTTCATCCAGAATTTAAAGTTTTTTTTAAAGTTGGTATTATTATGTAAAGTAAATATTTTCAGGCTGTGATTAGATGGCATAATTATGCATTCTGTGGAGTGATGCACATTTCCCAATTAGTTACTGTTATTTACACTTATAGAAATCCTAATTCATATATCCTATTTCATGCTGTACTTATTTATTTAGCATTTATTACAGGGTATAATTCCAAACTATAACTTTAAAAACAATTAGTTAGTAACCAATGACATTAATATGATGACAATCAAGAAGCTTATCCCAAGCCTTACCCCCAAATATTTTCCCTACATTTTCACTTGCAGTTATCTGCAGTAAATGTAATTTGTCAATCATTAGGTGACCTATCGCCTTTGACTAATTCCTACCTGGGTTTTTTATTCTGCCACACAGATCTATTTAATAAGATTCTAATTTCAAACCTTCT